TAATCTTGAATCCAAAGTGTCTGAAATGAAGCAAATACTGAAAGGACAGCATTACAGATGGTTTGCAAATTATCTCGTGGTAAAACGTGCGAGCATCGAGCCAAATTATCATCAGCTCTATTTACAGTTTTTGGATCAGCTTGATAGTCAACTACTTATGAAGCATGTATTGCACGAGACTTTTGCTAATGTTAACGTTCTGTTAAACTCCAACAAGACGGTACAATCTGCGTCTGAACGGACTTTGTTAAAGAATCTTGGATCCTGGCTTGGGGGTATGACACTTGCGAGGAATAAGCCAATCAAGCATAAAAACATAGCTTTTAAGGTTATTTCATTTTCACTTAATGATATTTTTGCGTCTCTTGTAGATGTTCGTCAATTTTAACATGCCAGTTTTAATGAATTTTTATAGGATTTATTAGTTGAAGGTTATGATAGCAATAGGCTCATTGTTGCCATACCATTTGTCTGCAAGGTACTTGAACAGGCTAGCAAGAGTAAAGTCTTTAAACCACCAAATCCGTGGTTGATGGCCATTTTAAGGCTTTTGGTAGAGTTATATCAATTTGCAGGTTTGAAACTTAATCTTACGTTCGAAATCGAAGTTCTGTGTAAAAGCCTCAGCATTGAGCTCCAAGACATAGAGCCCACCAACATACTCAAGGATAAGAAACCATTGAAAGATTCTGCTAATCAGCAAACTGACCGTCTCGCGCAAGATATGGAAAGAATGAACATTAATACTCCGACTTTTGTCTCGCCTGGAGCTAAAATAGCTAGTCAGGTTGCACAACCGCAACAAGGAATGCAACATCAACCAGGACAACAACAACTTCCGTTGCAGCTACAGCAAATGCAAAGCCAACAACACCAACATCAACACCAACACCAACACCAGCATCAACACCAACACCAGCATCAGCATCAACCATTAATTCCTCCACCTGGTCCACAGACTTCTCATATTCAACCCGCGCTAGGGACGCTGGCTGATGAGGGTTATGTGAATCTCACGCAGAGCATTGCGCAGCACGTTGTAATAAACTCTAACCTATCTATAATTGCTAGTCAGATTCCGTTGCGAAAAATTGTACAATTAGCTATTGAACGGGCAATTTGCGAAACTGTTACATCCATTATTGATCGTGCTGTTATGATTGCTGGTATTTCTACCAGGGAATTAATTGTAAAGGATTTCTCCATGGAACCGAATGAAGAAAAAATGCGAAGTGCTGCTCATTCTATGGTGCAAACTTTGGCTGGTAGTCTGGCTCTTGTCACTTGTAAGGATAGTCTTCGGCAGCATATGATGGCGCATCTGCGAAGTTTGCTTCAACAGTATAATTACTCTGAGGTAATCTACCTAGAGTTCTTTTGCAAGCACATGTTTTGACATCGAAATTATTATACTAACTATTATGTCGTCGACCACGTCATTGTTAAAATCTATACTTGATTACTCCCGTATGGCAGGCAATTAGTGAACAAGCGATAGTGGTAATTGTTACAGAAAATCTCGAATTAGCAAGTTCCATAGTCAAAAAAATTGCGCGCGAAAAAGCTGTCCCAGAAATCGATGAAGCTCTTGCATCATCGTTTAGTAATCGCAAGAAACACCGTGAACGAACTGGCCAGCCTTTCTATGACATGGCCGTCTATTCTGCAGTGTCCAGATATGTATCCAATTTACCGGAGCCGCTACGCACTAAACCAAATGGATTAACCGAGCAACAATTACAAATATATCAAGACTTTGGTAGAATCGGTAATTTGGCCAGGCCATCTCTTCAGCCATATGGTAAGAATTATCTGCATACGATTATCTGTGTTTTAGTAATATGATTACTGAATCAATATTGTTATCACAGACGATAGACCTCCACGCACTGCGATACATAGGCAAGAACTCGCTATGGGGCACCTTTACGGCGCAAATGAGCTATCATTCGAACCAGCTCACCCACAAGTAGCTGCAATGTCCGCTCATCAAAGCCTCGAAAAGTTTGCCGTAAGTAATGAACACAACATAATAGTGACATATGGAGGTCTCATATTAATATGTAATAAGAGCTAGTTGATCCCTAACATATTTTTATCTCACGTAGCAATATATTGCCGAGCTCGAAAATCTAATTGCCAAGAACCCCCAAGCATCACTGGCTTCATTACAACAAAATCATGAAATTCGATTAATAGTTAACCAGATACTATTATTAGCCTCAACATCATATAATCGTGATGAAACGGCACTTGCATTCTCTCAGAAAGTGGTTCAACTACTATACAAGAACGAGTCCAATCTCTCAAGAGAAATCTACGTCGTGTTATTAGAGAGATTGTGTGAAATTTCAATCAAAGTGAGCGGAGAGGTTACAGCATGGCTCATTTATGCCGACGATGATCGCAAGTTTATTGTCCCAGTAGTTGTCGCGTTAATCAAAGCTCGATTGATTAACACGAATGAACAAGACTTACAATTGGCAAGACTTATCGAAGCTGGACGAACTACAGTTATTGATTTTACCGCAAAATTGATCCGTGAATGCACTTTGAAAGAGCCACAAATTGCTACGCGCGCCGATTTTCCCAACTCGTTAGATGCTCTTGACAGACTTGCGAGACGTGGGAAAGCACCCGAAAGGTATGTTGTTAACGATACGGTCGCAAATATAATTTCGCTGGCAACGCAGAAACTAACCATTTACTGAAAACAAAATAGTGTAATAAAACTCCTGGATGATTTACGCCGCCCAGCTCGTGCTCCACCTATTAAGGAGGTTGAAAATTTGGGGGGGCTACGCGAACAACTCTCCTACTATTTTACCGAATGGGTTCGTCTCTACCAACACCCGGCGTCAAATGAGAAAGTTTTTAGTTCATTCATAATGCAAGTGCAACAACAAGGCATACTGAAAGGCGACGAAGTCTCATCGATGTTCTTCCGTATTTGTACTGAAATGAGCGTTGACAATTGTCTCAAACAGAAAATAACTAATCAATCGTCAACAGTCACAGTATACCAAGCAATCGATGCCTTTTCTAAGCTCATTGTTTTATTAGTCAAGTATCATTCTGATCCCGAGGGTATGAATGATAATCTGGCTAAGAGCGCCTACTTCAACAAGATCGTATCTCTAATTGTACTTGTGCTTGCGCAAGCTCATGAACAAAGGCGACAACAGTTTAACCAAAAACCATTCTTTAGATTGTTTTCGAGCCTTCTTAGTGACTTGAATGCGTACGAGCAGCAACTACAGCCTATTTACTTCCAATTATTGACAATACTGAGGTGAGTTCTTCGTGACTATGTTAAATCAGCGTCAATGAGATTTATTATTAACGATATTATATTATTATGACTATAGCTCCACGTTCACTACACTCCAGCCAAGCTTTTTCCCTGGCTTCACATTTGCATGGCTGTCATTAATATCACATCGTCTTTTCATGCCTAAGCTACTCCTTGCTTCTGAAAACCAAAAGGTTAGCGTTATTGCGATCCATATTATAGTTCTGTCTGATAACTTACTCTTGTCCATTCATTTTTTAGGGTTGGTCAGCATTCCATCGACTCCTTATAAGCTTGTTTAGATTTCTCATCCCATTCCTTCGTAACGTGGAGATGTTTCGTGAAACCACACGCCTTCTTTACAAAGGCACCCTTCGTGTATTACTTGTACTTCTTCATGACTTTCCTGAATTC